GCAGCTTCCAACTGTTGTGTCGTACACCGTCGTTAGACTAAACGTCGTAGCTATGTGGTCAACCACTGTTTTCTGCACAATTCGTAACGCTTGGTAGTGCGGGATGAGCCGCGCTATATCATACTCAACTTTCAGTCATGCAGGCCCACCGTCGTCACCTATGGAGTCGTTGCACAAGTTATGTGGTCGGACCGGGGAGTGGGCACTAGTGACGAGAACTAGCCTCTCGAAACAGCCGACTGGTGCTTTCCAGACTTGTGGAACTTAGGTGACTGATAGAAGCCTGCGACGAGCTATACTTTAAAAAGCATAAGCCGCAAGTATGGTGTTCCGTAATTTGTGTCTAATGCGTCTTGCTTTCGGAGACTTTGTGAAGCTGTTCTCAGCTTTCTTTTTGCCAATCTGGAATAGTGCGTCCAGGTTTGCCCACTCCTGCCTTACTAGTGATAAGATAGAACTCGAGGTTTTACTAATGGGTACTAGATTGCTGTAGGATTAACGGGGGCAGACGTAGTCCCATCGCTTACTTTATTTGGGGATGCACTCAGTGCACCGCCGAGGACTTCGAGGAGCCTTGATTGAACCGGACTTGTCCCAGCTGTTTAGCACGGTCAGTTTGGAGGATCTTCAGAGTCATTTCAACACCAGCCGCGTCCTGAAAGGATTGGGACAGAAACTCGGTTATGGCGCGCCGGTACTTGCTTCCAGAAAATGTGGTTAGAGAACCTACGGGTAGGTGTTTTGAGCAGTAGTTAAACGCACTTAGGTGGCAACACGAAACCCTTCCCTTTCCCTGACTAACGCCCATCCACATATTTTGATATTTGTGCTTTGCTTCACACTGGTACTAGCAAGCATCTTTACGGTCCATTTCTCCCTATATCTCGTTTACTCCACGTGAGCGGCACAGTAAGAACTGCTAGTACAGGAACCTGAAGCTGTAATTGGTTGACCAGCATGTAGTTTGGGGTTTCATTTTAGATCCATCAAGGCCTCGAAGCACCCTATTATTACCTGGTTCAATCGGTAGTTCAAGAAGGAACACTCACAGGATTCTTCTAACCATACAGCCCTAATTGAACTTGAACTAGTGGTTTTCACATTTTAGATGCTCTCGAAGCCGCTTGCTGGAAGAAGAAAGCAGGATCAAGTGCAATAACGCTTCTACGTACGTACACAGTATATAAACGGCAATGATACTCGACAAACTTCTGTTGATTTTCCTCTCTTGAGTAGGCGGAAATAGGACAGCGTTTCATCTATGCCAGTTGCTCTCCTCGACAGATGGATGAAAGGGTAAGGTGCAAGAGATCTGACGATGATACATAGAGGTTGAGCTCCGGCGTTAAAGTAAACAGTGCGCTCGCCAGTACATATAGGTACGATAACCACACTGCGGTTACAAAAAATGAGGCGCTGTTAGTAATTGGTTATTCTGGAGGCACAGTTGGGTCTGTATTGGCAAGAAAGCACGGTAGCATCTATGTGCCCAGAGACCATTGTTATTTTGTTAACGATGAACGCCAAAGGTGGCACTCAGCGATTGGTTAAAGAAGCGCGCTGGTCACCAAACGTGCTTAGTGGTGCGCTCAAGTCCGTGGGTGTCGTTACACAGTGTAGTGGGTAACGAACTGGAGTGTTCTGAACTTCGAAGTTAACGACTACCAGCATTTCATCTGGTCGTGTACAAAACTTAGTACTTTAGTTTCCGGAAAAGCACCTGGTATGGACCCACATGAGGCGGAGCCAAAGGTCTTCAGACGGCGTCGAAGCGGATAAAGAAAAACTGAAAAGGATGCAAATCCAAGTGGATTTGCTACATATAATTGGAGCGCGTAGAAGCCGATCGAAAATGTTTCAAGGGTCGAGTAACACTTTAAGGAATCACAGGCAATGCTGTTCTTCAGCAAGGCAAATATCCCCAGTTCATTAACATGAAAAGAATAAATCATTTTGGGGTTAAGCATTCTTTTCGGTGAACTCTCTTCAAACCAAAACGTTTACATAACCCTGGTGGTGTGGCGAAAGCGACAACTCGGACTAGGATTGATTTCTAGGCTGCTTGTACGGTCGAAATCGATGACTTAATACAGCTACAGATGGCACGCAAAATGCAGTAAGGGAACATTACTGTCTAAACCTCAGTAGCTAAATTAAACAGATAGGTTCACAAAGGGATAACTAAGTAGCAATGTTAACTGGCCGTGTTAATCGTTTTGGTGCAAATAATTCTGGCTTCATATGGTGGCTGTAAATAGCCTCGGCAATAGACAAGAGCCGCTTTCGGAATTCTTGTGAGTAGATGATCTTAAAGTCATTCTCAGACGTAGTATGGCCACAATCAAGGGGGTGCGACATGATTGAGCTGCTTTAGGACCTCGTTTTGCCTTTGTAAAATAAACGCCAGGATGTACTCGCGAATCCTTTGAGATAGGCATCTCGTTGTGTGCAACACAGGAGCATGAGTACTGAACAGGTCAACGAGGGAAGGCTATCTTTCAGGAGTTTTGCAAGCAATGGTATGTTGGGGTAAACAATTCTCAAACGGGCAGCGAAATAAGTTTTCTCAATAGCATCTTTCAGGAGAAGTGATATCAGCTGCAGAATCGACCTCATATGGTAAATGCATGAAGAGCCGTTTCTTGAGAACAATGCTCCTAGGTGGTTCTCGATTTCTTCCCTTCAGATGCTTCATGAGAAACTTATCGGGTTAACTATTTTCCCTAAGGGCGTTGCTGATTCTCTGTAGCTCTTTGTTGACGGTATCCGGAATGCAACTATTGCGACCCATAAAGGCATAATATCGGATTAAACTCCTCTGGTGCTGTAAAGGTATTGTGCTGTGAAAATTAGTGTACTGCCTAGTCAACGTATGCTTTCTGTGGACTTTCCGAGTGGGCCATGTTCTAATTTCGCGAACAACGGCAACAAAAGTGATCCCATGGCAACTCCATCAAGCTGACGGCACATCGCACCATTGAATGTGGAATGAACATTCAACATGCAGCGAAGTAGTATCTCCTTTAACGACTCCTCCGGAAAAGTAGCGTATATTGGCAACTGCCGGTTCAGCTCGCACACCTAACCCACCGTTTCGAGCAGTGGAATACTTGTAAACAGCGACTGAGCATCAAAAGATATCGTACTTTTTGTTAACTCCCCTGCGTTGTACTTTCCTGCCATAAGCTTCTGGAACTTGCGTTCGTCACTGACGATGTGCTGCATTTTACAGATATAATCCATCCCATTTATTAACACTACGCCAGACCCCTTATCTGGCCCAAAGATAAGTAATTCGTTCTCCAACCGCAACTCTTCAGTTGGCTTAATTTGCCCCCTTGCAATAATACTCTTACTACCCACTACCTGAACACTTCTCGCAAGGATTCCGAAAGCATCTCTTGTCTATTGCCGAGGCTAGTTATATCCACCATATGAAGCCAGAATTATTTGCACCAAAACGATTAACACGGTCAATACTATTACCACTACTACTACTACTACTACCGTGATCAGTTAACATTGTTACATAGTTATCCCTTCGTGACCTCGTCTATTTACTTTAGACTACTCAGGTTTAGGCATTAATGTTCCTTTAGTGCATTTGGCGTGCCATCTGCAGCCGTATTAAGTATTCGATTTGGACCGTTCAAGCAGCTTAGAAATCAATCCTAGACCGAGATGACGCTTTTGCCAAACAACCAGAGTTGTGTAAACTAATTCTTAACCCTGGACGGATTTCTGATCTTGAGTATCACTTTGCCAGGTGGTAATCTGAGGGTTACACCGAACATGAGATCTGCAGGGCCACACCAGATGTCCTCTCTGGGGGCACCGCAAATACGAACAAGGATAGCAGGAACGTGCTCAGACTAAGGTGAACCAGCCATAATGGCGGCTTTATAGTGTCGAGGTAAAAGGTCGACGAGGCAATTAACAGCGGGATAGTAGGCGGTTGTTTGTATGTGCGTAGGGTCTAGTAATTAAGTCAAATCAAGAAACAGTGTGGAGCTGAACTGGGTTTCTACCTTAGTGATGATGGTGTCTGGAATGTCGAACGGGAAAATCCACGATTCAACAAAGGCACGAGAAACAGACTCCGTAGACATATTGTAGCGAACAGGAGATAAGGCCATTTGTATGGGTACGATGTGCAAAATAGTATAGGTATATAATCTCACTTTGCACGTAAGAAAATCTGAAAATGTGCCTGTTAAAACGCTGACTAAGCGACGTTGAGTCGAACGGACGGCCCGCACTTCAGGTGCTTCCGACTCGAACTGTTCGCGAAGTCTGAGATGGTGGCGTTGGATAATCGTGACAAAGCGTGCTTGAAGTTCGTCATATCGTAGCCTTCTATAAAGAGCGGTTTATCCACATCTGTGTAGACCCAGAATCGTCCCACAGCTCGGACAAATGGCCCACACGAAATGACTGATGATAAGCTTTTGAACAGTTCTGCCATTGCACCTACAATGCTTGCTCGAGAACGCTATCATCGATGGCTGAACGATTTTGTTACTGAGAGGCAAAGTGAGTGCTCCCTGTCAACCGTAGCATGGGGCGCCAGCGGATCGTAGCAGATGAAAAGCCAGCGCAAATCCCGAAAGGCAAATTGTACGGCAAAGGATTATGCTGTCGGTCTGGTGGGATCGCCACTGCGTCATCTATTGGGAACGGTTGTCTGACAATTCCACAGTTACTACCGGTACATACCACCAACAACAGCAAAAGAAAGTCGACGAACAACGAAGTGTCCAAAAGCAGCTGAAATCCATTTCCTGGATGACAACGCACATCCTCACGTGGCAAAGGCGACGCGTCTCAAGATTCAGCAGCTCAGATACATCTAACATCCAGCCCAGACCTGGCCCTTACTGACTAAAACCTGTCCTACTTGCTGCACAGTTATATCAAGGATGGGAAATTCCATGACCGCGACCCAATACTTTGACAGTTAGCACAGCTCGTTTTACGACAGGCGTTGACAACACATCGTCTATAACAATAGACATTATATTGCGTAAATATTGTTACTGGTTTACAATATTTACTGAAAAATGTGCTAAAGTTTCAGTTGATTTCGGGACCGCCCAATAGATAACGAGTGTGGACGGAAACGAACACGAGAATAATCACCTATTTTTCGGACATATGAATGACATTAGGAATCACATAAAGGGGCCTGTAAACGATAATAAGCAATAAACTTTGAAAGACAAGGAACAGGTAAATAGGGAGTGACAGAACGGAAAGTAGGTCATCGCGAACGATATGGGTTGCTAGTAAAAAAACAAAGTTTATGTGCGATATCAAATAGATACAAGTTAGACAACGATGTTGGGACAAAAAGCCAAGATAAAAACAAGGAGTACGGAAGAATGCAATGTGCAGAACTGAGGTTAACTACATGCCCGCATGGCTTTCGCGATATCCACGCCGGTGATGAGCTGAATAGCCTGAGGCAGCTGGGCCATCAGAGAGAGCACTTCACCCGTCAGTTTGGAAATGCCAATTTCTCCATCTCCGGTGGAAACCATGGTGACACGATCGCATTGAGTCAAAGGTGCGCTGAGTTCAGCCGCTACTTTGGGAAGCACTTGCAGTACCATATCCAACTTGGCAGCGCTCTGAAACAAGGACAGAAGTGGATACGAGGACCATGGTAGCGATGTGGGCAGATGGGCCCTAATGCACAGGTGAAGTGGTGCTTGTGGGTGATTATGATGCGTAATAATCTGATTGGCGGATCGGCTGCATAGTTTGCAGATAAGTAGTTTTTGTTTCACAAAGAGCGTAACCTACGTGTGTAATGGTAGGAGTGTGAGTCGAGTCATCTAATTCTCAGGTAGACCAACAAAAAGGGTAATTTGTAGCAAACGCTTTCCAATTTAACCCGACGCTTGAGAAATGCAAAACATGAAATTGCATCCATAATTCCAAGTAAAAAGTCAGAAGGCGCAAATTCTGAGGACACTGTCATTACGGGCATCCTCACTAGTTATAAACAAGCAACCAAAGATGGGAGCTTACCGAAACATGGTCAGAAAGGAGCGATTGGCGGCCAAACCGTGACCAAGTAGCACGACAGACGCTGAGCTACAATCAGTTGTTTCTGTAACCATAGCGGTAACCTCTTTCGATTGAGCACGATAGTTTCCATTACTTTGAGGAAGTAGGACTTCTGGTTGTGCATTTCGATGGTAAGTGGCCAATGTTGCTCAAAAGTCTTTTGATTGTTGAGGCAGCTCGGTTGTTTTTACCCATCTGATTATGTCGTCAAAGACCCCAACTGTTGGTGAAACCACTTGGGGATGTGCCTATGGATGCTGTCACCTAAACTTCGGTCATTGTGCTCAACACAGCAGCCTCCACAGCCACAAGTGAATTCGTGTAGGTCAGCAATGTGAGCTACCTCTTCATCCGTGGCTTAATCGTACACATAGGCAAGGGTCCTGTCCACGTGAGCAACCGTAGCCATGCCGCATTGTACGTGGTTATACATTCTGCGGTGACCTTGATGATGCCGTCAGCTAAATAAGTGTAGGCTTCGTCGGAAGTGTTGGTGTCAATCTCGCTTGATCATGTCACTGAGGTGTTTTATGAATCGTAACGAAAAGCCGATGAACTGTAGCGTATGAAAAACAGCTCACTGTGTACAATGTATCCAGGGTAAAAATTATGTGCTCGACAAAGCAGCATCCGGACAAGAGGACGCCTGTGCTATGTCAGAGAGAAGCTCCTAAAATGCAAATACGGACTTGCCCAGATTGCCCTCAGGTAGGCTGATCTCTTGGTCAAACCATGCAGTCACCGTGTAGTAATAAGGTCTAACTACAGGAGGCTAGTACACCTCTCCACGTTACATGTTAACGTAACAGCCTCCTATACCGTCACATAATCACAGAACTGAGTAAAAACCGGTACAATGGCTTCCAAAGTGTTAGGCTCTGTTAGACAAAACAAGAAGCGGCTGGTGTAAACGGTGTCTAACATGAGCATACGAAAGTGGTCGATATATAACGCCAATGTGCCACAGAAAAAATAGGTCTGTTTTTGCGAGACTTCAAACCTAGAAAAACGATGGACGGATAGTGTTTTGCACTCTTTCCGACTTAACCGGCTATCATTTAATAATCAAGTCGAACGAACAGGATCCAGAGAGCGAACAGTGGATCAAAAAATTGCATATACATGATTAAAGGTTCGGATATGGGTGTTAAGGTGCACAGAAGAAATGAGGGCCGTTTTTATTCGGAAGTCGTTTTGTCTTCGACAACCCCGAGAGAGTGCGTGCAAACTGAGGTGCGCTATTATCCGAATTCGTCAGTGGTGATTTAACTTGGTGTGACTCGGTTGGCCTCGGGGATGGAAAAAATGATACCGACTCAGTGTCACTGAGTGATATGTATGCAAATCGATTGAAGTGGAACGTGTCAATTCAACTAGACCCGAAGCATTAAACAATGCAGACTGTCTTATCAATATGGAACATTTGATGTGATTTACAGAATAATCATTGAAGTCAACTCGCATCCAGACAATCTTCCGAACATCCGGAGAAGCACAAAACAGCCGTTTCGTCCTATTGGGACTCGTTAGTAGTGAGCATGCGCTGGCTCCGTCAGGAACACAGCCCACGACCTTTAGACGCCGACAGTATGTCATTAGACCATAGGTGACGGTGGTTGACTGGTGTAATAAGCAAACTGTGATATAGCACGACCCACTGTCTATGTAGGTAATAAACTTTGCGGAGGACAAGGTCAACACCTAAAGCAACGGCTTCCTGAATATCATTGAAAAGTTACAAGAGCAAAGCTTGGCTAGCAATAGAGCCGGAGTACGAGCGTTATTGACGAGTCCCAAAAGAAAGAAACAGCCGTCGAGTTTTTATAACTATATGAATGAACATCTGAGTCATTTGAGTCAACTGCAGTGAGTCCTTTAGAAGCCCATTTGTTGTTTACAAACAAACTTATCCAACTGACTGGATAGATGCGATGTATTTGTTCAGAGCCACACTGAGAACAGCTGCACAAAATAGCAATAAACGTTCACAGAGAGTATCAGGTGAAGGTGTCAAAACGTCAAGATTAAAAGACCGCGAGTATAGTACAATGCAACAGTCGTGGGGCCACACACATATGTTACACGGATGCGGTAAGTGGGAAGGAAAACGGCTGGAATGTGAACATGCGAAACTTGAATTGGTTCGCACACCTGTTGATCAATCAAGAACAGTGACAAGTACATCTTCGTGGCACCGTGAATTCGACACATGTTAACGGATCACGATTGCAATGAGTGAAAGATCAAATTCAATGAGAAAGGTTATTGGGTGGGAGTGGGTGAAGGAGACCTTCAGACATCATCGCATTCGATAAACAATCTTTGGATCATACGTTGTCATACGGGAAGCGCTCAGCTTAACCCATTATGGTGAGTAATGGATTTCAAGGCAATTATACAAGGCACAAACAAAGCGTTATGTATGAGAAATTGAAGACTGACTGTCAGTACCTCATACAATGTCATAAAGACCTAAGTAAACGATTAGAAGATAACAAGCTAAGATGATGTTACCAATTAAAATCGAAGCAGGTAGCAGACAGGAAAGCTCATGTGCAAGGCACAAACTTGACCGCTTACCTCGTAGGCGCGCCACGACTCTGCCTTTCGCATCATTTGTTCCGCTTCAGCTTTAGCTATAAGTTCAAGGGTTTCTGCCTCAGCCAACCCTTTAAGTCGTATACACTCGGCCTCGGCTTCAGCCTCAGCTATCAGGCGAAGGCGGTCCGCATCGGCCAGACGTTCGAGACGGAAGCGTTCGGCGTCTGCTGGCTTTCGAACGGTGGCGTCAAGATGGCGCTGCTGACGAGTGTTTTCTAATTCTTCCACCTGAATTTGTTGCGTACGCTCAACGACCATAACCTGCATTTCTTCGTCCTTAATTTGTTGTCGCGTTTTGGCCACCTGTGGAACAGAAGGTCAAGCATACAGTGAGTAGTGGTGAACCAAGTTCCACGGATATTTGTTTCACCAAATTTTGAAGAGGCAGTGTGGATAGAAAAAAATGCCGATCCGGATAAACCGACCAAAGCCGTAAGAACAAGGGATATGGAAAAATTCACCAGTTGCAGGTTCCATACCAAAGGAGTAGCATGGAGGTTAACTGTTTTGCGAGTCAAACGAGTTTGTCGTGAACGTTTCGTCGCCACGCTTGGAAATCAGTTTAGCTTTTAGGGAAGCGACTGCCCCGTTTTTAATCTGGTTCAGAAGTCATGACTTAATTTTCATGCTCCCCAATGACGTATTGCGTCGGGTTGGTGGTTGGCAGACTAATCGCTTTCTTTGTCCTGTTGACATAAGGCGGATTGCTGACTGTTACCAGTCACCTGAGTGCCGACAAGCGGAAAACAGTCTGAAAATACTTCGTCGCTACGCTTACTATTGACGTTATCCACTTCCGACAAAAATGGTGTATAGTTGCCAAGATGATGCACTCCATAAACGCCAGTCCGGATCTCATAGATAACGAGATCGTGAGACCAGTTAGTTTGGTTGGGGCGCTCAACAGCCAATTCAGAAAAGGTAGTTCGGGCGAAATATTATTTCAAATATGCAATAGGATATTCAGGTTATGTGGTGGCTAACAGTAGATCACTTGTTCGTATATCATAGCAACTATGCCCTTTTTGCGACCCATGCGCAGGATGATTTGGAAAAAAAACTCTGCTGTATTTTGCGGAATTTGATATCCATCGAGGCTATTAGTCATTTCAGAGTGATAAAAATACTTCGAAGTCGATTTCTCAACGGAATCTTTTTATGTGTCTCGTTTAGACAAATCAATCATGGAAATAAGTCCGCAAGATCTTGTAGGCCTTGTAGGAAAATGGAGGAAATTCCGATTGAAGTTCGGCGCTGCCATCTTGCGTGATAGTGTTGCTTCAATGGCTGGGGGAGCAAATAGTGAGCAAGTACTCTAGAGACTATGTGATTCGTTATGGCCAAAAGATTGATCAAAACGTTTTCATAGTGGCAATCACCACAAATCACTTATACTAGTCACTAATCCCGGATTGGTACCGCCATCCACTGTTAATGGCGATTGGAATCAGAATGTGTCCGAGGCAGTCTGCCGTACACTGGGCGCCAATTGACTAGCTGTTGTACCTGACGAGAAATATGATCATCAGTAAGATAAGTACCGTATATTACCGAATACAAGCCCGTCCACAGATAAGCCGACAGCACAATTTCGCAACATCAAATTTGTCCTGTATTAGCCGACCCCTAAAAAATCAGCAAAAGAGAAACGAAATTGTTTCTCCACGATTGACGTCAGCACGAACTGCTCACATTTGAGTGATTCCAAGTGAAATCTGATCTACTATTGGTCAGCTGTGGTGACCGTAATGTATTGTACGTGCGGTTAACGGGGCGACGGGCCATCAGAACAGACTGTCACCACAGCGGAGAGTGTATTGACCAGATGTCATCACATGAAACAGGTAAGACGGCCGACAATACAGGGTAACGTGAGAGGGTGTGTATGAACCACGGAAGAGTAATGGGTGAGAGCGAAGTTCGCGGGTCAGTGGTGGTACTTTGAAGGCACCGGATCGCCTGGCATAACATAATGTTTAAGGGCTTCTGATTCGCTACTACCATCCGTAGTGGACGTCAAATGTGCAATAGACCGAGAATTTACGATACTAAAGTAACGTGTTTAGCTATAAGCCCTTCCAATTCCCATTTGGAATACCATCCGTATCTAGATGGCGGTGCTAAGGGAGGATGAGGGCAGTGGTGGACAGTGAATTCCCGGGTGGACTTTGCGTGTAACTCATTTCAAATTCCGTATATCCCTATTATAAGCCGATCATTTCCATCACAGAAACGAAAAATTGTCCAAAAATTATCGGCTTATATTCGGTAATATGCGGTATCGATCCCGAAACGGTGTCATAGAAAGTACACTGACTCCGACACGTGAGCAGCTTGAGCATTCATGTCACCAGTGTCAGAAATACGATGTTGATGGCCGTCTAGGTATGTTTGATCTAGCTACACTATAGCCTACATACGCTCTTGTTTTTTGCAGTGAAGCAGTAAAAGAAGCTAATAGTGAGCAGCTGATGTCGCTTGAAACTACCGTTTCCAAATAAATTGATGCGAACCCCCGCAATTGGGTCAGTTTTTCAAGCTTTGCAACTCAATTACGCACATCGCAATTAAAATTCGTGTATGCTCTCCACTTCATTTTCCAACGTGGCGGTAAGTGCATGTATTCCGACACCATCCATAGCTTTCTTAGTGGTATACGGATTTTGGACACTCACCATTCCCTCTGCGCAATCACTGACAACCCGCAGTGCGACCCCAGAGTCCAATGAAGATACTCAAAAAGTATTTGCCGCATGAACCGATGAGGAAAAGATGAGCATACACATTAACCGTATCAGATGGCAGTCATGTAACGGCAAACGCATATGAATCCTTGTGAGTGGGTCAGAGGCCTTCTGAATAGAGGTCCGTAAGCACTTCCAACACAAAACAAAAGGGTAGAAAAGATATCACCAGAACGCCAGTACACAGTACCTAGGCTTCGCGGCCGCACAAATACCAACAGTCGCGCGTGGGCTAAGGATATTGCGAGGGTCGCCCGTCCCTTACGCAGGTTCGAATCCGCGATTTCGGATTACAAGGCTGGTTTGTGAGTCTTTAGGCAACGGGGACGGCACTACAAATTATAACGCATAAGAAATGTAATCTAAGTCAGCCAATTTAAGTGTACGATTACTGTACACAGCTCAAACGGATGTGGGTGGTGCTGATATCGGACCTGTCTGCAGTCAAACGGCCGACCTGTCTAGCGGGATTTCGGAAGGTAACTAGAAGGCAGAGAAACCTCCCGACTGTTCTAGTCACCACTTTAGGCAACTAGAACGCAAATGATGGATGTGACTAACCGAAAGCAATAGCAGAAGTACAGCACAACATTAGTCTATAAACTAACCACGGACGATGTCTGTGCCCGAGCACATATCTCCGAACACGGTGCACAGCAGCCACTGCACAAATGGGGCGACAGAGTGGTGATAGCTGCCAGCTATGATAGCCATTATCCTCATGTCATGCAGAGAAAAATAGATCTATGAAGTAAGATACAGCAAGCTGACTTCATGAATTACACAATCCTGTTGATTTGCGCAAGTGTAAGAAGCAATAAAATATAACAAGTTGTCATGGAATTATCAGAGCGAACTTGAATGAGAAAGGACCTTGTGTTAATTGTTAATGAATATGTAAAAAACACATACTTGCAGTTCGTAAGCCAGTTCCGACTCAGCCTTTCGTGCTTGTATTTCCTTCTGAAATGCTGCATTTTTCAGTTCGAAATCTCGCTTTGCCTTGGCGATCTCGGTGTCGTTAAGTAAACGACCGGCAACACGCGTTCGTTCGGCGTCAGCTTCACGAATCCCAGCATCGCGACGAGCCTCTGCCTCACCGATGCGAGCGTCGCGTTTTACTTGAGCAGTACGCGCCAAACCAAGGGAGTGCAAATAGTTCTAAGAAACGACAGAAGTCAACGGTTCGAAGAAGGTCCAAAGAAGGAAGCAAAGGAAATAATCGAAGAAGGTTGAGAGATATTTTCGTATCCGCTGGTTGTAACGACAATGGAAAGAATGATTAGTGTCCGGCGTCTGCTAGTGGTTAAACAGATGGATAGGCAAATTATGAGTGGGGACATTTTCAGTTTCGCCCAATCCCAACACTTCCCATCCATGACTAAGCTCTTAGAGAGTTGGAAATGAAAATCAAGACGCATACGTCATGAGCTTTCCGCAACAGAAGAATAGCCAAGTTAAATCAAAGAAAGGGCTTAAGCAATTATGGCGGGTGAATAATCAGCTGTAACACATTTTTTTAGCAGAGCAGAGAACGAAGTGCGACGAAAGTAAAGCAATAACGCAGATTATTAAATAATAACGCAGTGGTGTTAGAACAAAGACTGCTACTTTAGTAAGACGGATAACTCACCAATGGTAGGCTTCTTTAGTTAGGCATACAAGGGTTTGTATTTTTGTTTGGTTGACAAGGTAACACATTATGATAATAGGAAGTATGGTAGTACAGAGTGTCGTTAAGTAACGTTAAGCCACTTGAAAGAACTAACGTGAGTGAACGCAATCATATCTACAAGTCAGCGTTGGAACACCGCTACATCGAGACAAGTGTTTCACTGACATGACGCGCAAGCTTATCCAGTAGAAAGCAGTATGTCGAGAGTAGAAGAACACAAGCAATGACAAGGTATCAAACCAAGAAGGATAGAAAAGTATCGAAGAACCAAAATGTCCTGAAATGAGTGAATGCAATATTCACATGACGTGACCAAGATAACTCGTACTTAAGAATGGTATTTAGATACTTCACTAATGTGAAGGAATGCAATCTCTTGCCATCAGTGTCGACTTTCGGGCAATGCGTAAAAAGATGATGTTACAGACCTCAACTATACAATGAAAAAACCATCTCAGTGCACTATAATGCATTAAGCTCGCTTTCGACCAAGCCGTGAAATCATGCAGAACACCTTGCGGTCTGAATGATGAATTGTTTGTTGTCGAAGACAACGTCATCTGCATACTTGTGTAGGGTCGCCTCCTCGGGGACCGTTATCAAGCAGACGCAAGTGAAAGCAGCGGTAGAATAGCCACCCGAAGAACGCTGATATTTGTAAAAGGGGCGATGAGATTATGCTTTCAAATCGAGTAAGCTGAATGCGACCGGCAAAACAAACCCTCAAGAATGATGTATTCATGTACCGAGCAGATTTTTCAACAGCAGATCGCTATTTAACCAGACAATCGCAATGTTGTAGTCAAAAATGTAGTTTCCAGTGGACTTGGTCCTACTGTGAATCGACAAGAGAACCGAAAAGGTTAAGCATGCTATTGCGTCTTGGGCTGATCTCGAATTGCGGTAGGCAAATTGAAGGGGTCGCTTGACTGCAGCATTTTCTCAAGATAGTCGAGTGACGCATGTGACGGTAATTAGGGATTCAGTATGCACATTGTGCTCTTCAAATGAACTTAGACCGTTAAGTTCAGTAGACCAACTTCTGTAGCTACAACATCCCACAAGAAGATTAGCGCTGAGTAGCGCAGACTTCAACCAACTCGCAAAGGTAGCCCTTGTATTGTATCTGGTGAAACAAGATTAAACATTGGTTAGATTTTTAACACACTGTTGTGACTGCTGATCGCAGTTAAAAGGATGAGACTGAGCATGGAGTGCAGCGATAGGAACGAGCAACACAGACGCGTCCATTGCATTGACGTTTCCAGTAGTGGGACGAGTGGTAAAGCAAGCCGGTGGTATATGAGCACCTGACAATAGAAAAAGGTTAATATAACTAGTAGGTAGACAAGGCAGGTTAGTGCGAAGGATTTAAGGAAGGACTTCCCCCACGTGGCTACAAACAGATTAGATCAAAGGTTTTCAGGAGGGATGGATTAGTTATCGCGCCTGATTCACGCGCAAACTGGTCGGTACGCAAGCGAACAGCTCTGAGACCGCCTGAAGTTGATTAATGTTGCCTCCGAACCGTCGGAAAAGTATGTCCAGCACATTTTGAAATATGAAAGCAATGACCGATCTAGCAGTGAATTCGTCCCATAGACATCTGAACAGATGCCTCACAGGTGTATACCAGCCTACTTTCTGTCTACTAGCGACTTGGGGAGAGAAAAAAATCCAACAATCAGTGGGAGATAGTGTTCTGGAATCTAAGTGAAATTAATGATCAAACATAGTTGCGAAAAAGCGCATTGTGATTCAGAGGGCAGGACAGGAAGGATCAGAACGTTCTTGGCAAAACGAGAATACGTCGTCGAAACGATAAATATCTAAACCCACATTCGGAGCAGAGAGACAATCACAAGCGAGTTACGAATGGGACCAACGAAGACGAAGCCAGTGCAAGTGGCTCAAGCGTTTTGTGAAAACTATCAGATATAATCCAAGAGAAGACTTAGACAACGTTTGAGCCGGACGATAAATACAAACTTGCCTCGTCATCTTGAATATCCTTTAAGGTGTAGCTCACGACGCTGATCCCCATGTTGACTAGATCCGAGCTCGCCACTTCGAAAACGGCCCTGGAGAACTTTTTTCGGTCTTTGTAAATTTCTTCCACTGTCATGTTACCCATTATGGCGCGTTGGTGTCCCTCCAAAGTCTCCTGTGCCACCTCTCGTATTTCGTCCACCGATTTACCGAGGAATTGCTCACAAGCTGCGGCCAACATTTCCCTGTTGGATCCATTTACTTTGACCTTGGGGACAAAACAGAGTCCGAAAACGGATGACAAGAAGCCCAAAAATACTCGATTACCGTATGAGAATAAAAGTATATGGCGTGGTTACCTAACACAAACAAGTCAGATATGATAGAATGGCACAGCGCGTAGTTCAGCTGCATGTGAAAATAACAAACCGAGCGGGACCAAAGATCAACTAAGGTCAAGTTCGGGACACGGATGATTTGCACAAGTTGCTGGTTAGTAGCGAAAGCGTCAGTGTCGAAGGGTACCTGATGGAACCGAGGAGTGTGCACTACTGGAGCGTCACAGTGGGATGAAATGAATGTACGGTGGTTTGCAGGTTAGTGAAGTCAGTAAAATTTCAGGAAAGTTATTGCGATAGCTAGTGAGCGTGCAAGCGCACCAGCACCGCGCTCGTTGACCAAGGAACTATGGATCAAATAAAACCAATCAGTATAAGAGAGGGGATCCCAAAGCTGTACCAAAACACTTGTTACCAACTGCTTATTCAATCATTGAATAAAAACGCAGCCGATTGGTTCATCTGCCAGCGTACGGTCAATAGCAAAGGGAGAGCTGATTTGCAGATGGGATAGACGAATTTTGTGTGGGTATTTTGATTCCACACAATCGGCACTGAGTACTAAAGCTCAACAGATGTGTTTGGTTGTGATAATAACATGCATGATGTTAACTGTGCGATTCATAGCTGCGTATACAAAAAGCGGCCACCTAATGAAATATAGGCAGCTCAACGAGTCGTGGAACATGACTGATGACCAGGCCCACCCATCCGGAGTAGCAATGACAGTAGAATGGATGTTGCCAGTCATCTGACCGTGGCGGATACTGTAACAGCTAAAGCACACCGGTGAGATGCTGTGGGTTATCATGTCGTGCGTGACTAGTAATAAGTACAACTTGAATGAAGTGGCAGAAAAAAGGAAATCGCATCATCAAATGAGGTGTCTAAACTGCTTGACAGAAGTAAACATTAGACCTAATTAGGTGAACGGAGTCGTGGAACAAGAAATCATGATCGCTTCAGCTGAAGGCAAATTATCAAAACTGGAAAATCTGCAAACAGCTTTGTAGCTATGCGTGACGAGGAGCAGAAAAACAGACACACATCATTCAGTAGCTCCTGGTAACGGAGATGCGGGCCATACAACAGCATTCACACACACGCTGAGAATAGGGACATAAAGAACCGCTGGTTGCGTTACCGGAAAGCGTCGACTGGAAGTGCGCAAAAGAGTTGACAGGCGCAAAAATGAAACATCAGTGAAGCTCTGATTACAGAGCAGGTTGCAAATGGGGTGAATGATTCAAACTAGCTAGCTGACAAGCACCTCGCACTGTGCATTTCCCAGCCATTCTAATAGCGTCTAGCATTGCGCGTTCACCGGGTTCCATCCTGAACTGTTACAGCAAGCAATTAGCATTGCCAACTAAAGCACAAGTTTTTGACGTGATTAGTATTATTAACCAACCCGGTGGCTTTCAACACGTTTCTGCACATTAGCTAAAATGCACATGCTACTCAACACACGCTAACCTAATGGATCCGATAAACAGGCATACTGAACAGTCCACTAAACAATGGGCCCTGTAAGTGGCATAGCATTTACCTAAGTACTTCCTTTCATGCGCAACACGGTTCGATAGAACGTATCAAAGGATGTGGTCGAGTTCTGTTAGATGAGTGATTACCTAGCACAGGTCAGACTAGACATTAAGGGCACCGAAATCACACAGAAGATGAATCGAACAAGGTTGAGACAGAGCATTACTACTTCAAGATTAGCATACGAGAACAACTGAGCAACGAAGATGACCATATCCGTAGTGGTGGGTAAGTAATCAATCAACAGCAGTACATCAGTCATTTGATCCGACGCTTCGCTGCCATACAACCATGATGACTTAGGAAATAAAGAGTAATAAGTGGAATAGAAGGGGGACTTACCTGAAAAGTTTAATGTCCTAAGCAAACATTCAGCGTCAAGGCGCCTACATCTTGTGTAGACAACATACCGTCACAAACAGCTGGCTATCGTGCAAAGGCGGCATCGGCGAGACAGCTTCCTTGCGGCTTTCACTGCCACGCGTCATAATCAGCCATTACCCCACGGCACCTAATATACTTTAAACAGGAAATCCCACTAGGAAACGGCAGCAGACGCGCCACTAGTGTCGGTTGCCAGTCATCTCCTGTCAAGTCTCGAGCCAAGCACAAGGCGAGTCACGTGGACCCCAGCCCGGAAGATGACACGGACCAACAGCACCCAGTTTGGTCGTCAATAACTTTATTTCCCACTGCCAAGTCAATGTCTGTCCACCTCGAGCCTTGCGCCACCCTACATCTGGCAAACTAAACAAGGCCCTCTTAGGCAAGCGGTGAGCAGGCATACGTAGCACGTACACGAGCCAACGTAACTTATTCAGTGCTATCTGTTGTTCTAGGGAGCTAGCATGATTATCACTACCTAGTACTCACTTACGAACATCATCGTTGCGGACACGCTGGTGCTATCCAACACCAGAAATACTTCGCAGACAACGATGATCAAAGATTTGCAGGCGCCTAAAATCTTCAGACCGAAGGGGCCAAGTCTCACTACCATACAGCAGAACGACCCTCACTGTAGCCTTGTATACACGGTCTTTCAGACGAAGGGAAACTCCCTCCTGGTGCGGTGACGATTGATAGTGCCACAAGGAGATACCCCTGCGTTGTGCATGGCAGCCGTGATCCTATTCCAGTGAAGCTCAGTGTCATTAGAACAAGACGGCGAAATTTCAGTATGGAGTGTGTCTTGATAGGCTTGCCTGAGTGAGGGCCGATACAATTTCTCCGTTGCCAATCGGTGGGAACGCTTGGTGTGCCTCCCGGTAACGTTCATGGAAAAACAACAGCGTACTAAGGCAGGGTCAAAGTCGACGCAGGTATTCCAATACGAGCGGCAATCCAGGATGGAACCACGCCACCTGTAATGTGGTCAATTTCGGTCTAACAGTGGCCAGCTACAGGAGGACGCCAAGTGGCACTTCAGCGCCCACTGTGTCTAAAAGCAGTGCTACTAAAAAACAACTGGTGCTCCGCACACAGTTGTAGCAGACGCTTATCGTTGTCAGTCCTTTCGGAGTTAAGCCCATAATTACCATCCAGCTGGACTTCTGAGTAGCTCAGACGCCCTACTTGTGCGTTCATATCCCCCGCAAGTACCATAATATATGAATCAGTAGCACTGTATAGCAGCGCGTTCAGTTCATGATAGAATGTCCTTGACAGCATTTGAACTGCAGTCGTTAGGAGCATAAGCGGAAATCACAAACAAACAGCGTTTTGTGCCACTTCGTGGATAAACCTTAGCTGGTCTCGTCAAACGCTGCACATAAACGGCTATTCACCGGAATCCAATCAACCAACGATGGCTCAGCCTTGGAGCTTAAAATGATACCTACACAAGCTTAACCCGTGAGTGCTGCATCCACGGCTCCGGATGCGTGCAAACAATATGAGAGGACAAGTCGGGTGCAGTTAATTCAACAACCCCATTAGGGTCATTGATCCTAGTTTCGGACAGACAACACACGTGCGTGCGAGTGAGGCCTGTTGACCTGTTTGTCTTAGAGTGCGAACGTTGAATGTCGCCATGGAAACGGGACGGCGTGGCCCTAGAAGGGACTGCTGGTGATAAGCGTCCGATGCGTGTCGCGAGAAGGTGGCTGCAGATGGTGCTACTCCAATGGAATTTCGGTTGCTGTCAATTAAGCTGGGAATTATAGAGGGAAGGTTAGTAACGGGGGTCGGGATGGGAGTAAGAAAACCAGGTGGAAAAAAAGGGAGGCGCCAGCAGTAGTATGTTTTCGCTTATCCGCCCTGCTGTATGCAGCAGCTAATGCTACCGTTGATAAGCTGCGAGACGGCCGATGCAGGATGAAGTTTGTGTTTGAAGAAATAGTCATGGTTGTATGTGGGCTGAGATACTGCCAGAGCGCCCAGACCTAGACAGGCGGACGATTAGGGTCCTCATTCAAAGCCTTTGGCTCAAAAGCGTGTCCGCCAGGCAGCGGGGAGGTGGCAATGATTTAGTTTTACAGAAATGGACGCCATCCCATTTCAAACCCCCAATCTGGAGGAACAAGAGACTGAGTTTGTCTGACCTCTAACCACTGACAAACCTGGTAGGAGTATCTCTCGAGATGCCCGCAGCCACCCCCCAGTATAGCTCAATGGGTCAACGAGGTACGCAAACCGTCGCACCACGTTAAGGTCCAGTCTCGTTGCGATGGTGGGTGAGTAATGAATTTATGTGAATGACCACAGAAACGCACATGCCGACTGGTAGGTGGTCGACGAAGTAAGTAGGTTAGTTACTCTAAACGGAAAGTTTAGATGGTGTTTAGACCTAACAATGAATTACACGAGGGCCTATGTTCAGATTGGGACACTGCAAGTAGAGATAGTCTGAGCTGAGAGTAAAATCCGTGTCGCAATCTACACACGGTGGATATTCCGAGAGCAAACAATGAACTTCAAAGTGCTGGGTCAAGTGTAGCTCGCGAAGCTCTGGCCTAGGGACCAAGATGCAAGGCGTCAGCCACTATGAGTCGGGTTCCAGTGCCTCAGTGCTTACGCTTAGATTGTTATCGCTGGGTGGGTCATTTCATCTGAGTGATGAATGATAGTCAGTTGGAGGAACGTGACCGATGCCGCGCGGTTAGTCTGAGGACCAATCACGTGCCACCTAAGCGAGCTGAACACGATCACACGAGACATGGATAAGACAGAAGTGACTTGGCTCATCACGAAAACGTACTCCGTTACACACAAAGAAGAGCGGATTGACCAGAACGGGCGAACCAAGGTCGACGACAGAGGGCGTGGTGATAGCTAGTTAGCTGGGCGGACGAAGCCATCGAATGGCAAGTGAAGAGAATACGAATCAGCTGACACCCAAGTAAGTCGACCACAATAGCACGCATCAGGTGGAAAGTGGAGTTTGCGCGGCCTACATGAGCCAAATGTAACATAGATCTGAGCAGGTTAGGAATGGCTGGATAGAGAAAAGTGGATAAACAGCGTGTGCAACCATAAGAAATAACCGATGAAAATCGCCGCAATTGAATAGCGTTTCAAATCGCTATACAATATAAATGGTGTCACAGTTCATGAATAGACTTCGTTTGGACTCTCAGGGTCACGTGACACTCCGTAGGTTGAATGTCCGTCAACCTAGACCGGCAGTATAAGCTGTCACTGCACCCAGGCGAGCGAAGCCGCGAGGCGGCCATTGAATGAGATGGTATATAGGGGTGCGTGCTAGCACGCGAGCTGTCGCCCGTGAGAGGTCATAAAGTATGGATACATTGTGCAAAGAACCGTCAACAGTAAGTGCGTAGTGGGACCGGTGGCACACAAGACGATCAGTTAAATTACCAGGAGACAAACGCGAGCACCTCCTGCATCACATTCGCTCGAAAAGAGTGCATGCATTCATCAAAGACAAGCTTAGACAGTCCGCGGATTTCATGTTTGATAACTGGATCCCTAACAGAAGCGTTACCCAAGGCAACAGAAAGTCAATATGGTTAAATATGCTTGGAACCGATCGAGAAGTAATGATTTCAGAAAGATTTGAAACAAACGGTTGCTATATCTAGCGGACAACGTTTCGATGTTGACACAAAAGTTTTATCGGGCCAAGCAAACCAGCTCGTGATTGGTGGTGCAGCTGGCTAAATAGAGAGTGGTCCCTTGATGTGACATCTGATACAAAGAAATCCCCAAATGATAGGGAATGGGAGAGAAAAGAAAACTGGCGACGGATACTTACGGGCATATATAAAGCGCTGCTCTCCGAGAGGAGTTGCCAGTGGATAAACCGTAGGGTGACAGCTAGTTTGTACTCACCGAACAGCCAGTCGATTCGCCGGAGGGTTCAACTCCAAGTAACAATTGACGGATACCTGCATTGTTCGTTCGATGCCACACCAAGAGTACCTCAGGTCGAAGATAACTATTCGCCTGGTGTGTACAACACGTAACCAATCGTATCTCCGGACTATGCGACAACATTAGGCGTAACGAAGCATTACCCACTCTGCATTCGTAGAGGTGCAGAGAAAGAGGGGGATCAAAGTCTTCAGTTGCTGCCATTTCTAACGCTGGCTAGTAAACACACATTCTCCGTGAATCCTACATAGCTATCAAATTTCGAGAGAGAAAACCCCCCGAGAAGATACTGAGTGGGCGCAAAAAAGGTAATCCAAAGCAATTAGAGGCTAGCACTAAACTATTACATTCGAATATCCGAATATAATGTGACGGGACATGTGATCCTAGTTTAGTTTGGCCAGTTAAATAAACGCAACTTCGCGCCCGTTCAAACGGAGAAAATCATGGCCACGGTGTTTCAAGTGTTCGTAATACTTTGAAGAAAGCCTTATTGTGGTTTTTAACGTTGTAGGCACAGAATAAACCTTGCGGTGTGACGGAAACATTGTCCTATTAAGGTACTCACGGTTGAAGAGCTGGTGGACGATGTAACTAGAATATCCGCCCCATATGGAAAACGTGTTATCATTTCGTATCAATTTAGTTAAATTACATACTATGCGACATTTCATTGTTCAAGGATGAAGAGCCGCGGTCAGTTGCGTGCATGCATTCTTTCACCCATTTCGATTATGCGCTGTGAGTGTCACAAATTTGTACCATTCCAGTGGATAGGGATGTGACAAAGCTACAAACCTTCAGTCACGTTTCCAATGTACGGGGTGTAGCCCACCTTAAGTCATGGGCAAGCAAAGCACAAGGGTATACATCCACAGACCCCGGAACGTGTGTGCAGAGACATAAACACAGAGGACAACATGTACATAAAAAGTAGTCCATGGATGCGTGGGATAATTGCTTGCTTTGTGCAATGAAAGAAGTTTGGTCAGTTGGCTCTGCTTCATGCACCGGAGCGGAATGGATTGAGTTATGAGAATGAAAATGCACAATTGAGGAGATAAAGTTAGAATACGAACACAAACCTGAGCCACACCTGTCACTGTGATTGGAACGCCAAGTTGTGTGTAGATTCGCGGGCTCTCGATTAAGAGAGTCATTGTGTTGAGTGGCATCCTGTGCATACGGGAAGATGTGGAGACAAAATTAAGACCGCAGACAAATGCCCGAACAAAGCTGACATTACCAAATTCCAAAGCATGGAAGGGTTCTCATACAAAACCTTTGGTTCAAATAAGCTGTCGGCAAGGCAGAAAGATGGTAACAGTTCACGAAAAGGACAACTTTCACAAAATGAAAGGCATCCCAGTTCCAAGTAACATGTATCTCCGACCTATAACCAACAATTGCGGCGTTTGCCACCTCGCGTCAGAACCAGCCGCAAACTTACAGACAAATCAACAACACAGACTTGGAACAAGCAATCCGACAGAGACAACAACAACCGGGCTGCTAACCATGTCCCGCAGTCTCGAGCCAAGAGAGGAGCAGGGTCCATGGACTTCATCATGAAGGATGAAACGGACTGCGTCTGGTGGCATGGGAGAGGTAAAACCGAGGCTCTGAAATTTTTTTACATAAAATCTCAGCGGATCGCGGACTATTAGAGCACACAATTTTCCTTTGCGTGCTCAATCCCTAATCGGAAAGGAGTTCGGAAGATATCTAACAGTTTTTGTGGAAATTCCGCAAAACCCTTTCAACCACTCTGTGCTCCGCTTCCCAGTGGATTTTTCCCTACCCATAGCATCACATACCAACCAAATTAAAATCATTTGACTTGGAATTACAAGCTCTATACAATGGCTATCTAGAAAGCCAATTCCCATCATTTTTTTGACATTCCGTTCGCCAGTTGCAATCACTTTTGTAACTTCCAGCTGCTAACCGACAGCATCGGCTGACTAATTTGCGCGGTAAGCCGCGTCGCGCCGCCGCAATAAGCACCTCGGCCAGTCAACACCGGCAGTCATCTGACCACGTGGCATTTCAACAAACGTGTGAACTGAGACCAGGGTGCGGTGAGGCGGTGTCAAGTCAGAACAGCTCCAAGGTGTACATCACATCACATCCGAACCCAAATAGTGACGATCGATACGCGCCAAGCTTTGTCATCTCAATATATTTGAATTCCAGTAACGTGCGTGAACTCTGACAACGTTAGATCGTCATTTGCTGACTGCCCAGGAGCGTACATCGGAGACCTGCACACACACACACACACGCGCAATACGCACAAGTGGGACAAACGAAAACACCATTCAGCCGAGATGTGCACCTCACCTACTTACCTGCCTAGAGATCCAAACAACCAACCAAGCAAGTAAACGTGAATGCAAAACCGGTTTGCTCTTTGGTATGTTTCGAATGATAATTCCCGTTTCAATCATGAAAAGACGGTCTAGCAAACAAGCTCGCTTTCGATGATTTATCGTCAGGTCAAATACAACACATTTAAATTGTTAATATCTACCGTGTCAGATATCAAATCTTCACATTAGCGGAATAGATTACGATTCGTCCCAACAACTCTCCATTGTGTGTGAACAAACAATTGGTCAAGGTTTTAGCTCTATCATGGCCAGTTGCCGTATGAACGAATCACATTCATTATGAACATTTTGATCCCGACATTTTCTAGCCACTCAAGCGGCCCTATCTTATCTTAAGTGTTTAAATGTGTTGTATTTGGCCTGACAATGAATAACTGAAAACGAGTTTGTGTGCTAGCCCGTCTTTGCATGACTAGAACCGGTTGGTTTGTATCGCTTATCAAATTTGAAATTATGCTTCGTATCTCTTTCTATACGTCATCCTGTGACTATCTTACTACCCAATTCTATACGTTTATCATTATAACACCCTTTCAATCGGTATTCGCTAGAAATGGTTGTTAGCACAGTACGAATTAGAAACTCCGTACTTAAGTCTAAAATGAAACCAGGAACGAATATTAAACCCACGGATGCCACTGCTAATAATCCATCCATATTGCAATGAAAACGAGACGTTCAACATCAAAACTCCGAAAAAATTGGATGTAGTTGTGGAATATACTAACTTCGCTATCACTAGTCGAATAATCGCACGCGAAGAAGTTACCACACTGAAAAGTAAAATTCATGAATTTAGCGCTAGTTATGATCAAGTTCTATCATTCAGCGAACTATTAGAGGATCAGCAAACGTTATGCTAGACCGATTACGTGCACGTGGTTCCTTCAATCACATCCGGGACTCAAGAACGTCTACGTAGATAGCAAAATATTATTATCTTCAAAGCACCCGGTTACCTAATCGGTAAATATCGACAGAGTAAAAAAATGCTCTCCTAACAGCGTGCAATATGAATGAAATCACTTACCAATGCCTCAGATTGCAAAGGAAAACATGACGTCACACATAATACTCCTGAAGTTTTCTGATGATACGAGTGCATTATAATTCCTCCGCAATAAAATACCAACTGGTGTAAAAATTAACTTTAAAAACATGATAAAACATCTCTTCAGAGGCGATTAACCAGGTAGCGTAGTCACTTAGCCCCTCGAACTCTACATGTTCCTGCTTGTGTAGCAAGTAATAATGCAGGGATAGGTGACGTCGACCTTGAAAAGTCAACAGCTTCATCCAGACAGGGTGATGACTTGCGTTCCAGTCCTCATCGTCCTCCTGATACGTTCCAAAGTAGTAATTGCGAAATGCCACTCTCTAGAAACGCCAACCACGTGGATAATGTACAGAATAATGAGACACCTGCAGAATACACATCCATCTCTCCTGTGTTACTTCTACTAATCACGATCTTATACAAGATTTAGCAATAGCTGTACGTACGACCTCTCGAGCTAACAAAACCAAAACTCAGATTATCATACTTTCAGCACCAAACATCCAAATTTGACAGAGGAGAAGGCGAATGTAATTGGAAGCACTCTCTCAGGACACTCGAATCTCAGTAACTCTGAATCGAGCACTACAAGATGGTATAGAAATTCAACAAGACCCGCTGAGACAAAGTGTGCGATTTCAGGCTCCCGCGCGTAACGCCGAAACCGATATCAGGATAAGCAGCAGAAAGCCGATCCAATATTTACCCACAGCAACCCGGAGTTTGACTCCAACTTCAGCGTCTCTAAATTGGCAAAACCTTTGTATGTACAGCACTGGAATAAGCACCAAAATGATCGTAGGCCTTACGAACCCGCCTCAACACATAACCCACCCACCATCACCCTCTTCATCATTGAGACGAAAACAGTGGAATCCGAGCGAAAACATGTTTTGAGACTAGTACCCTCCGCCTCTGTATCCTACAAATACACTATCGTATTCCCCCATATCTTCATCCACCAATTGACCCACCATCAAGTGCTATGATGTGTCAGAGAATAATTCAGTTACTAGAGCACTCATTTCATTCATTGCAGTTCAACGCAGAGCTCACTGCGACTCGATTACCTCACAACGCAGTTTTTAGCTACGACGACGAAGAATACAACTTTGCCCACCACTTTTATTTCAATCTAACAGTCGCGAATCTACCACGAGAAAGATTCGATCCCTATACCTAAATTGGACCTAATTTCAACGCTTATGTTTATGAAATCACCTGATATTGCTTATATTACTGAAACGTGGTACACATTCAAAAATAGCTCTTAGCTTAACATCTCAGCTATCAACTTTTCTGCAAAGATTGTTCGCGCAAACGTGGTGGTGGCTGTGCCGTACACATTCGTAATAGCCCTACTGCGATTCCTACTTATCGGGATGCGCTCAGCGAAGTTAAAGTCACACCATAGCTAGTAATCTCATCTATCGCATATATCGGCCGCCCCAAGCCACTCAATATGAAACACAAAAGCTAATTCATGTGATCAATACTGCTTCCAGCAGCATCTACAGGTCCAAATTTAGGTGCGGAGATTTCAACCTGCCACGTGCTAACTGGTTGCTGCCTACATCCAGGGCCATTGCGAGACATGAAGAAATCATTTTCTGTATCCATTTCAATGACCGACACATCAGATTAGGGAACCAACCAAAAGCATCAATATCCTCGATTTTGTATTCATAATGGGGACCTATTCTGTACATGGATCCGTTGATGATCAAGCACCGGGCTGTAATCACAATACTATACGATGTAGCATAACTGTTGAATCCCCTGAACCAACAAGTGCAATGTTAATACCGAATCGTAACCTACATCGATATGAATGGAACGCATTTAAGGAATTTATCAGTAGCATGGGCTGGAACACGTTATTCGCAGCCCATAACTCTGCTGTAGCTGCAAATGCATTTGCCGTAAGCAAACTAAAGAAACTTAAAGCATCACGTCGCAGGAGCAGCAACTTCGCGACATTAATACAGATACACGAGGTTCTACTGCAAGTACGATGTTAAACACAGGCAGCTAGAATCAAAGAAAAATGTCGGGCACTTAGAAATTCTGAAGGTATGTACACTGACTCAGATAAACAAAAGAAACCCCAACTATCACCAGGAAACTGAAATGGTGAAGTCGAACGATGGTTTATTAACGCGCATCTCGTGTATATGCGAGTCGATCAACTTCAACTTTGCCTCCTCCATTGTGCTTGATGCGCAATCGTCTCAACCCCCCCCCCTATTCCTACAAAGGACAAACGAGCTACGCAATATGCCTGTGACATTGAGAGAGGTGCAGAACCTCATCTCGTCCATAAAACCAGCAACCCATCCGGGCCCAGCTGTCATAAGGCTCAGTGGTAAAATAACGCTATTATTATTAAACATTTTCACTCTTTTGCTAACTACCGGCTGCCTTTCCAGTGGAAGAAATCCATCATAATGCCCAAACCAAAGGTGGCCCGCGAAATAAAATGTCAAATTACCGCCCGATAAAACACATGTCTGCTGCTTCTATAGTCCTAGGAAGGATAGTCAAGAAGAACACTGTTCAATTTTTTACACGACTGACTTGATTAATCCCTCACAACATGGCTTTCTCTCAAAGCGCTCTTGCTTCACATGCCAGCTGCAATTCCTTGATTAAGTTGAGGCTATGACTGACAGAGGAATGGCAATCATCATAATTATCATGGACATGCAAAAGGCGTTCGACCGCGT